GTGGATCGGATAGTGACGTTCATCGTCGCTCATTAACACTGAACCGTTTGTGGAGACCTATAGGTAATTTTCGATGCCTACAGGGGTGCTCGCACGGCAACTCGTATCAAGTTGGTATCAGAGCATCAGATCAGGTGAAGGGGCATCCTGTGTGTGGTCCTTACTCGGTCCTCATACAAGAAGCTTGGCGAGATCCTTATTTCATTGGAAGGAGTCCAGGATTTAAGGAAGGGGAAGATGGCTGAAGGAGATAATTTAGCGAGGATTGATGCATTAGAGAAGCAGATCGAGACGATAGGATCGACGCTCACAAAACTCGTCGGTCTCATCCAAGGAGGTAACAAAAAGGTGGAATCTTCTTCTAGATCTAAGAAGAAACCTATAGAGTCCGGTGGAGAGAGCGAGCTTTCAGGCTCCGACGAGGAGGACGAGACCGTCAAGGCTGCACCGCATCAAGGGGGTAAGAATTCTTACCAGAATCTGAAGATTGATTTCAGAGTGGAGATTCCTATTTATGATGGGAGTGTTGACGTCGAGAGGCTTGATGACTGGATCAAGCGGATGGAGACGTATTTTACTCTTTATGGCTATTCGTCAAAAGAGAAGATTGTGTTCGCGACTTTGAAGCTTTCAGGACATGCATTGACGTGGTGGAAATCCTATGGCAAGCAGGAGAAGAAGGCGGTGTCGTGGAACAAGTTCAAGGAGCTAATTAGGAAACAGTTCTATCCGGTGGGATTCCTTGAGGAGCGTTGGTACAAGTGGTATGGCTTGCGCCAAAGGGTCAATCAAACCGTTCAAGAATACACTACGGAGTTCCAGCAGCAGGCGATGGTCCTTAACATTGCGACAGAGGAATATTCTGTGTTTATGAAGTATATGGCGGGATTGAGCGATTACATCCGAAAGGAGATGAGGTTATTCACGGTCGAGACTATTGCAGATGCGAGCGTGAAGGCCATTGCCATTGAGGGCAAGCAAAAGAAGAGCAACGAAGCAAAGGGGGATGCAAAGCAAGTTGGAGGTGAGTCTAGTGGTTCTCAGTTTAAGGAGGAGAAGAAGAAGGGTGATCCAGGGAAAACAGGGCTGATTTATAGTCACTGCGAGAAGACAGGACACGAAGCTGATCGGTGCTGGGAGAAGTATCCTCATCTCAAACCAAGAGGGTTGAAGAAGGAGGAGGAGAAAAAGGCATACATGATAGCTCAAGGTCCGAAAGAAGTCCCGGGGATGACAGAGCCTAATAGCAGTCTCAATCTTATGACGGGGAAACAGACCACGAAAGAGGACGACGACCCGAGAGAGCAGCTCTTTGTTCTTAAGTTGCAAGTGAAGACCAGTTTGGTTGATGCCATAGTTGATCCGGGCAGCGAGAAGAATTTGATATCCGAAGCCTTGGTTCAGAAGCTGGGTCTAAATACGGTAAAGCATCCGAAGCCCTATCCATTGGGGTGGATTCAGAAGGAGGAGAAGCTAAGTGTAGTTGATCAATGCACTGTAAGATTTGCGCTCCATGAGTCGTATATTGACGAGGTCACATGCGACGTAGTTCCATTGGATGTTTGTCAGATTATACTGGGCAATCCGTACTTATGGGATAGATATGCGATCTACGAGAGGCGGGCTCAGAAGTATACATTCACCAAGGGTGGTGAAAAGTTCATATTTCGTTCGGCATCTCTTCCGAGGGAGACAAGCTTGGGAACGGTGACGCGAGCGAAGAGGTTAGTGAATGCAAGCAAGAAGTTTGTCTCGCTGTGCATTAGACTTCCAGAAAAGCCATCAATTAAGGATTGCAACTTGGAGCGAGAAGTGACTACGACGAGACGCGGGATGAATGAGTTATTTCCGATCGGACGTCGAGATCATATTCCTAGCAAGGCCAGGTGGTTCAGAAAAGGAGGAGGGGCTCACGAGTTCCTTCAGTTTTAGTTCTAACTTGAACGGGACTTCAAGTTCCTAAAGAGGGGACCCATGATACAGGTGTATCTTCTTCCCTACCTCGGGAGCTTAGTGATCCTCATGGGAGCTTGAGGATAGGTGATTCTCATGATATCTTGAGAATAGGAGCGTGGATGGAGCCAAAGAAGACGGTGAAAGAAGTCAACAGGAGCGAAACGCGAAAAGAACAGGGTAAACTGACAGATCTCTGGCCGGTCGACCGCAGCACACATGCCGGTCGACCGGAAAACCTGCACGGTGCAGGGTTTAAGAAAACTCGTCGACCGGACCAAGCCCGGCGGTCGACCGGATCGCGATTTCTGGTTTTCCTGTTTCGTTTTGGATTCTGTTTTGACAGGGATTCCTGATTCTTTTGGGCTTGTTTATTTACAAGTTTGCCATCCATGTTTGCACATCTATAAATAGGATTGTGTTAGGGTTCTAAAAGGGAGACCTAAGGGAGAGAGAAATTCTAATAATTGTATTAGGGTTTAGAGAGAGAGTTGAGAGGTTGTTCTCAATTCTAGTGAGATTGTGAGAGAGGGATTGTAATCTTTTCATACTCATAATCTAGAGAATGTATTTTCCTTCGCCATACTGAATTGTTCTTGTGTTTTGGTCATCCTCTTCTCAACCCACCTTTTGGTAATTCCGCGACCAAAGGGGTGCTCGCACGGCAACTCGTATCAGTCATTGAGGACGAGAGAGTCCTAGAGCTGATAGCGCAGACCAGGTTCCGGGAGTGTTCTGCAGTGTGATATATGCGGCTTGATTGGCCGGTTAGCAGTGCACTGATCGAGAGGTGGAGGATAGAGACCAACACCTTCACATGCATATATGGGAGTGTACCATCACACTGCAGGACGTAACTATCATACTTGGGCTCTACATCGATGGCCCGGCAGTTACGGGCACTAATGACCATAATTGGGCTGAGGTATGTGATAGGCTTCTTGGACATGTTCCAGATTTGAGGAGTGGTGTGATGAAGCTATCATGACTTCACCAGGCATTTCAGGGAGATATACCATCAGATGTCTCCATTGAGACACTTCATTATCACGCTCGTGCGTACATATTGCATATGATAGGGTCAACGCTATTTCTTGATGCGAGCAAGACCCTTGTACATGCACGATGGTTCCACTCCTAGAGGATCTGGGTATATGCGACGCACTATCATGGGGGCAGTGCGGTGTTAGCATACTTGTATAGAGAACTGGGTAGAGTATCCTTGATGCAGAATAAAGAATTCAAGGGATGCTACACGTTATCTAGATTTGGTCTTGGGAGTGCATTCACATTGGACGTCCTACTTTAGTTGTGCACCACGACCTACAGGGCCAGTTTTCTTTGGCATACAGGTATAATTGTATGCAATGTTTTATTCATATTGAATTTGTACTCATATATTCTTTATGCCAAAAAGGTATAACGTGTGGTTCGCTAAATACAAATCTACGACGCGACATCGTGAGTTTTACAGAAATGAGTTTGATGTCCTCCAACATGAACAGGTAACTATAGAACTTGATTCGTATGAATATTATAGTTTTGTTGTTGATACTAAAAAATATTTTATCTTATTTTAGTTCAAGTGGAGACCCTATTCATTGCTGTATTTCGAAATGCATACTCTTGCACCTATCTATTGGGATAGTCCCGATTTGTGGAGAGCCAAAGTTCCATTGATCCATTGGGATATCGTGGAGATGCATGTACCCTACCGTGTGCTACTCTAATTTCTGCATTCTCAGCATGTGCGAGATCCTGTTGAGGTGATCGATCGTAGGCGGCAACCTACATTGCATCGGACTGACTGGGCCGTACTCTGTGCGGACTACATAGACCAGTGGACCAACAGGTGGGATTTTATACAGAATGAGAGAGACACAGCTATTGACTATACCGTGTATATGCGCTGGTATTGGGATATCACGCGTAGATGGATCACGCGTGACCCACAACCATCACCTGGGTACGTGCCACGCCTACCGATAGACAGTTACATCCCTAGTGGGATGAACGAGAGAGATTACGTAAGTTTCTAAACTAAATTATGTATATATTGTTTAACTCATAGTTTTATACATAGATACTTAATAAATTGTGTATATATTGTTTAACTCGCATGTCGCAGCTTTTGATGATATTGAAGCTAATATTGATGCGCACATGCCTGAGTTTCAGGATCCGACGGTGATGTTAGGGCTCCTCGGTAGGATCAAGAAGAGAATAGCCCAGGTGTTTCATAGGACTCACATCGACGAGTTTGTAGGCTGTGAGGACAGGTCATGATCATTTGGGCAAGCGTACACGCGACGACGTAGGACACGTGACGATGGAGCATGCACTTCTCATGCTGATGGAGTCGACACTTCTCAAGCTGATGGATCCGACGCTTCGCAATCTTATATACAACCGGATATTCAGATAATCGAGGCCTATCAACAGGAACTTAAGGGGCAGGGAAGAGGGAGGGGAAGTGGGAAGAGAGGGAGAGGAGGAATTATGGGTTGTATATGATCTTATTTTGTTGAAATTTGTAACTTTGATAAATTTGCAAATCAATAATTTTGTGGATCAATTATTGTTTATATATGTGATCTTCGTGTGTGAAGTTAGATTTGTGTTTAATTCATGACTAGAAGTTTATATGTTTATATGAAATATCATATTGTTCACATGTGAACCCTGCACATATGAAAAACATGCACAAACAAATGTGCAGGCTTTTTTTGGGAAAAGTGCAACTTCACGGGAGTTCAAGTCTCGTGATGTTTTTGAATATTTGAATCTTCACAGGACTTGAAATCCCGTGAAGTTTGAACGTTTAAAAAGTTTCATGGGACTTGAAGTCCCGTGAAGTTTAGCAGCTTAACAATCAGAATTTTTTTTTAAAAACCGACCTGATTTCAGCGTTGAGACTAAAACCAATGTTGGTTTTTGTAATTAAGTGTAAAATAAGCGTGTTTTGGGATTAAAAGTCCAAAAAGGAGTGTTACAAAATTTGTCCCAAAAAGGAAAGACGAAAGCTCGTCCGAGACCAAGCTTCTCTCTCTTGATTTATATACTCGCTGCCTCTCCGGTCCAAAGACCCCTCTTTCCCCTTCTGCGTTAACATAACATGATCTCGCCAATCGACCCTCGCGATCTCAGCAATGGCCTCACCCTCTTCCCGCGCCTCAAGCTCGTCCTCATATTCCACCGCTCCGATCCCGCCGTCAAACCCATCGACGAGTGGCAAATCAAGCTTTCCCTCCTCTCCTTCCTCCGCTCCTCCCCCCTCTGCCTCTCCATCCCCGACGAAAACGACCTCTCCATCAAGAAGCGCCCCGATCTCCACAAGCGCAAGATCGAAGACCCCGTCGCGTTTGGGAATCTCTACGTTCGGGATCTGGGGTTTTTGAGGAAGAAGAGGATGAGAGTTTGGGTTGAGGAGGAGTCGAATGATGAGGAGATGATTTTGAAGAGGTTTTTGGAGTGGAGAGAGGATGTTTTGAGGCAGTTGGGTGGGGTGGAGTTGAATATCCAAGGTGTTGGGTTCGACATGACGGCAGAATTACCAAAGGAGGAGGATTTCGAGGGGATGAAGCGGTCATGGGAGGATTTCTACCGTGAGAAACCCTAACCCTAGTTTTTTTTCCCTTCAAAGATTGTTCCCAAAAGTTTGTTTTTTTTCAGTACAAGTAGAGTAATGATGAAATGAAGCGATTTTCTTTAACTCAATTCATAAGATAATAAAGAACATTGCGGAAAATCAGGGCTTATAACACATAGACGCCCTGCACTATAGCTGTTTTCACCTATGGGCAATATCTGCCAAGTTACTCCCAAAGTAAATGAGTCAAAAAAAATTCACACAGGGAGTCTGTATGCAAAAATGAAACTACAATGGTAGTAAGTTCAAACAATGATTGTTGACCAGAAAAAGTTTCAAACAATGATATCATATTTGATGATGATAATATTCATAAAAATAAACTATGGATGAAAAATATAGGTTCTTTTTTTGTATCAACTAAGACCAATATAAGTTTACACGTTTGTTAAAAGGCATTGTTTTCTCCCTCTCCATCCTGACCATGATGATGATCCCTTTATCAAGAAGTAGAGAATGACCCATGGTGATGGTAATATTCATAAAAATAAACTATGGAGGAAAGAAATAAATTAGTTTTTTCTGTTAAAAATAGAGAGAGGGACCCATAGTGATGATAATATTCATAAAAATAAACTTGGAGGAATGAAATAGGTTAGTTTTTTGTATTAACTAAAACCAATATGAGTTCACAGATTTGTTAAAATGCACTATATTCTCCCTCTGCATCCTGACCATGATGATAATCCCTTCATCAAGAAGTGCTCTGACCTCCACAAGTGCAAGCGCGAATAGCCAATTGCATTTGGGGGAGGTTTTGAGAAAACTTTGTGGGATTGAGTTGAATAGTAAAGGAGTTGGGTCTATGACAACTGAGGTTTCGGAGGAGAATTTTTAAGGGATGAAGGAGTTGTTGAAGGATTTCTATTGTAAGAAACCTAAGCCTAGTGTTTTTAGCATGCAAAAATTAAATATGTTGTTAGGAATATTAGGAGAAACAATTATTGTCATTTGGCAGAAGTTTTCTTTTGAGTCAATGAGAGCGCCGTTGGGCATACATTTAAAATGACTAATGATCTAGCTTTTTTTTTTGTTTAAATTCATAATATAATACAAATTACTCTAAAGAAACATAAGATAAGATCTCTTAGTGGCGATCTCTCTATAATTCATAATATAATACAAATTACTCTAAAGAAACATAAGATAAGATCTCTTAGTGGCGATCTCTCTATCAAGAAGCATCCCGACCTCCATAGGTGCAAACGAGTGGAATAGTGAAGGATTTGGGTCTATGACAACTGAGGTTTCGGAGGAGAATTTTTAAGGGATGGAGTTGTTGGAGGATTTCTATTGTAAGAAACCTAAGCCTAGTGTTTTTAGCATGCAAAAATTAAATATGTTGTTAGGAATATTAGGAGAAACAATTATTGTCATTTGGCAGAATTTTTCTTTTGAGTCAATGAGAGCACCGTTGGGCATACATTTAAAATGACTAATGATCTAGCTTTTTTTTTGTTTGAATTCATAATATAATACAAATTACTCTAAAGAAACATAAGATAAGATCTCTTAGTGGCGATCTCTCTATCAAGAAGCATCCCGACCTCCATAGGTGCAAACGAGTGGATCCTATCGCTTATGAGACTATGTTCGAGATTTGGGGTTTATTAGGAAGAAGAATGGGGGTGAGGAGGATGTAAAAGATGAGAGGATTGTGAGAAGGTTTTGGAGTGGAGAAGGAAGGTTTTTGAGGATGCTGTGTAGGATCGAGTTGAATTAACACTGTTATAAATAGCGGTAAATAGCTTCGCAATAGCGTTTGCGGTCCCTTCTCGCTACAATATCGCCTAATAGCGATGACATATTACGGAATATGCGTTTTTCGCTTGCAAAAGTGGCCAATAGCGCATCCCAGCAATGAATAGCGGGCGATTGCGGGCAAAATTCGCTTTTTTATTGCTATTTAAAAGTGGTTTGAGATTTATATTTTTTAAATTAAACTCGACCCATAACAACTACATACCACCGCCTCCCCCGCTTTCATGCCTACTGCCGCCGCCTCTCTAGCATCTGGCACCTCCCTCAACGCTTCCTCTCACCTCCTCTCGCTGTGAGCTTCTCCTAGTGCAGGCCCCTCACCGCTTATAGCTCATCTTTTCGAAGATGACGACTCTTTGACTCTAGTTATCTTCTGTATTATGTGACGATTACATGTCTATTTCATGTTTAGGATCCCTTAAATTATCAAATACACTTTTAGATTTTTCTAAACTTTTCTATAAATTTTCTTATTTTTTTAATACTTATACATATCTAAATTAGACTGTTATTTGACTTTGTATTTTTTACCACTATTTTTCTGCAATAGCTCCAAATGGCCTTAGTGATGCCTCACCGTCACACGACGATATCCGTTATCGATAATCTTGGTTGAATATTAAAGGGATTGGGTTTGAGATGAGTGTTGAGGTTTTAGAGGAGGATTTTCAAGGGATGAAGAAACTGTGGGATGAGTCCTACCATAAGAAGCCTTAATCGTAGTTTTTAATATTCTTCCTAAAAGAATTCTGTTCTTTTTAGGCCATAATAGTGTACTATTGGGTGTATGAATAAAATGCAGTGGATTTTATAGATTAAATTCATAGGATCATAAAGACTACTCCAGAGTAAAAAGAGAGAGGATCCCATGGTGTCAATAATTATAAGCAAAGAAACTAAAAAATCTATGAAGGAAATAAATATTCTAGCTTTGTGTATTAACTAAAACCAATATATAAATTTATACACATTTATGAAAATACAACTATTTTCTCTCCGATGGCAATGACCTCATTAGCAAGAAATGCCTGACTCCATAGGTGCAAGAGAGGATCCAATTGTGTTTGGTGCTCTTAAAGTTTGAGCTCCATAAATTTTGGAAAGTAGGTTAGGGACAAGGAGGTGACTAGGGAAAATATTTGGAAGAGGTTTTTGGAGTGGAAAGAGGAGGTTTTGAGATTGTGGGATTAAGTTTAATATTGAATGGGTAGAGTTTGAGTTGATGATCAAGGTCCAAAGGAGGAGAATTTTGAGCGGATGATGCACATGAGTGGTTCTTTTTCTTTCTTTTTCTTTTTTTGATGATTTCTATTGTTTCATTATTGTTGTTCCAATAGGTGTTTTTTAAGGCAATAGTGCAGCATCATTGGGCACAAATTGTATAGTGAATCTTTTTTGATTAAAATCATATGATAATAGATACTACATAAAAAAATCCCATGTGATGGTAGATCCACAACTAAATAAAATATTGAGAAAAAAATAATTTAGTTTGGATAAAGAAAAGCCAATATAAGTTTAAAGTGCATTGTTTCTATCAGTGTTATCGAGACGTAAGGCGCAATACGGGGCACAAATGTTCCTTACGTGCACCATGTGCAAGGCGCACAACGATGCGTGCGCCTCACTGAATTGAGGCGCATAACTCAAACTAATATTTTCCAACATAAGACAAAGAAGCATATAAGTAACATGTTTATAAATTATCTCATACAGTGTTATCAATGTGCGAGGCGCAAAGCGGGGCTCAAAGCATCTTTATGTGCACATGCGCACGCCCAAGTGATGCGAGGCGTACACCGCCCACATAATTTTTTAAAATATATAATCAAGCGCGAAAGAACATTTTTTTAGAATTCACATGAAAAATATCATGATAAATAATATCTTACTACAAAATCATAATATAATATCTTAATTTCTAATGCTAACACCTAACATAGTAGTAAAATTCATAAATTTTCAAATCAAATGTTAAATCAAGACTAATATCCAAGCAAAGGATTAGTAATGATCCTCAATTGAAGGCTACTAAAAAGAAATGTTAAATCAAGACTAATATCCAAGCAAAGGATTAGTAATGATCCTCAATTGAAGGCTACTAAAAAGGCCTAATGGATTTATTTTATTATCCAAGCAAAGGATTAGTAATGATCCTCAATTGAAGGCTACTAAAAAGGCCTAATGGATTTATTTTATTTTTTGGGATATGGAATATCAATTATAAAGACTCGATTGAAATGTTAACAAACAAAACTATATAAGGATATGTACTACATGCACCACATGCACCACATGCACCCTGCACAAAGTAAAGATGTACTCGAGGCGCAAAAGGCGCTGCTGCATCAGAAGTGGGGTGCTTCACTACCACCTCGCATCGTAAGACGCATGAGGCGTAGTGAGGTGCACACCTTTGAAAACACTAGTCACATAAAAAGACTAAGAAATATAATTTCACCTACTAAATCACAAAAGAATCTTTATTAACATGCATAACATAGAGAAGTTCATAAGTTTTCACAAATAATAATGCAAGATAATATCCAACTTGAGCAAAAGTCTACGAAACAAAATAAGAAAGTAGCAAAATAATAATGTTTAGTCTTCCTCATCATCATCATCATCCAACTGAAGTGAAAATTTTCACCCTAAAAAAGAGTCTAATATGAAAAAAGAAACAGTCTATTACATGATGTAAATATGTAATCATATAAATTTTTTTTTTAAATGAGGAAAACAAAAAAAAAGAGAAAAACAACAAAAAAATAACCTAATTTCGCGTCGTCGGTGGCGGCGCGCCGACAGATTAGGGTTTGGTCGTACCAGAGTTTTGCGAACAGTGAGCAGAGTTTAAGGCAGCAGCCATTGTGAGAGCAGGAGAGAAAGAGGCGAAGCATAGCTTGCAAACCCTAAAACATAGGCGTTTAATGAAATACTGGAGTACTGGACTCGAAACCATGGTTCTGTTCACATTAAACCCAACTCACTACGCACCATCGGCTGCGGGCGTGAGTGATGTCGTGCGCCCGGACGTATGCCACAGCCGCACACAAGGCCGCCACACGAGGCGCACGCCAGGCGCGGGTCTCGCCCGTGCTGCAACGCCCCGCCTCTGGTGTGAGGCGCATTTGCTGCAAGCAGCAGCGCCTGGCGCGTGCGCCTCAATAACACTGGTTTCTATATATGTTGTGAATTTTGAGTAAAAGAAATAATTTATCCTAAACGTTTGTCTAATTTGTTAAACATTCCTTGCACTTTGTCGAGTTTTTCTCGTAGCCTAAGTAAAATTTAATGTTTTTGTTGACAAATCTTTTCTTATGGCAATATTAATTTGCAGGCAATTCTTTAAGGGGTGTGACTAGGCGACCTGATACGATTATTGTAAAAGGTGTGCCCTCACGATGGTTTGCTGAGCCAAGAGTGTCATCCAAGCCTTCTATGTTGGTTACACATACTATCTTTTCAGTGCTTGGAAAAATAAGGTAGCTAGTCCTAGTCTTTGGAAGGATAATTCTTGCATAAATTTCCTTTGTTATTTCTGAAACTGTTGACATTACTTATTTTGTAGCGTATTGCATATAGTTCTAAGGTACATATCTAGAAAGTGACTTATTATTGAGCTGTGTTACCATATCTTTATTTGAAAAAAAAATCTGCTGTTAGAAGTGTCTTCTTTTCCATTGTGATCAGGTTTTTAAGCCTTTTCTGCCTAATTAGGCTATTATAGACATAGAGCTCAACTTTATCTTGAGAAGGCTAAATAGGCACTTGTACAAATTTAGTTGCTTACTATAAAAACTGATGCAGATTCTATATAAAATTTTCAAAATGTAGAGAAAGGGGAATCTTCTGTTAAAGCTTAACTAGGTGTCTGCGAATTTAACATAATAAGCCAACATGATGGGGCAGAACAATTTAATCTCATATGACCAATGGACAATTTTCTAGAATTCTTTGATGTCATATACTTAGTTAATCTCCTTTCTTTAAAAGATTGAATAAAGTATATCTAATATAGTTAAACTTTTCAATGTTTTGTGTACCCATTGATGTCAGAATGGTACGGCTAAGATGGACGAAAGAGAAATATGAGGAATGAGGATAAGATGCTGATCACTCTAAGAATACATATATCAGTACCTTAGAATAAACGATGGGTAACGGGGTTAGCCAACTGATCTAGAGATACTGATATCACCAATCTAGAAAGATGCAATGAATCACCACTACCTTAGAAATATTGTAGGTAGTTGATATGCCATAATACCCTGAAAGTTATATGCATTCTTGCCGAAATGACATGGGGTTGGATAAGGTAAATACTCATCTAGGCATTCAATCTAAGGCAAGAGCTATATTCTCATATGCCAGTGTATTTGTATGGGTGTGTGTATGTACGATACAAGAGCTATATACTCATCTGGGCATTCAATCAGGGTTAAGCCACAATAAATGGCACGTTATTTTATCAGTAGGGTAATACATTTATAATCTTCCAGCCTTTGTTCATCTCATTAAAAATGTGTCTACTGTATTGTACTCTTTATCACTTTATTTTTTTCACTTATTCATTATCATATTGCACTTCCTAGATCCGACTTGTATACTGTCCTTTGACACCCTTCATTTGCATTGAGTAGGAAGCTTAATGTTGCTGAGGACGATGATCTAGGTACAAATTCAGGGGAAAATAAAGGGGATATTGTTTCTGGACTTACATGCAAGGCCTGGGTTCAATTTGAGAGTTATGATGACTTCTATAACGCGTTTAAGGCGCTGTGTGGATGTTCTATGCAGAAGGTATGAAGGTAATATGGGACCAGCGTTTCATATTACATAATCTCAGATATAGTTTGCTAGAAGTACTATTAGTTACAAATAACCCCCTCACCTATACCTTTAGTATCAATTATCACTCGCTAGCTAATTTATTAGCAGTTATCACCTTTTTGGATTTTTCATTTTGAGAACCTAAGTTGCAGATAAACAGCCTTTCACCCTAAAGTTGAGGGTTATAATTTCTAATAAATAAGTTGAGTGGCTGTCAGTGCTACTGAAGGTATAAATGAGGGTGATTATCTGTTACTTTATTAATTGTTCGCTCTTTTAATTGTGAATTTTTCTTTCATCACTAGCTGATGCATGTATAAAAAATACAATATAGGAATTCCATTTTTTTTATTTAAAATGAGATCTCTAAGACTTCTATTTGTTTTTATTTTATCACTAAAGTTTCCTTTTTGCAAGTGTTGCGTTCATTAGACTTTGTGGTTTGTTTGTTTGGGGATATGGCATCACTCTACCCAGTTAAGATGTTTACTTCTTTGACATGACACTCTTTTCCTTTTTCCCTTCTTTCCCTTTTCTAAATGCAATATCCTAGTAAACTTCATTCCAATTTAGGGATTTTGACTTATTGGCGTGAGATGTAATTTCCAAACTTTAACCATGAATGTTTTGGTCTCAAGGTTTGTTCCAGAAGTTGCTATTATGTTGGCAGGACAAGCTGGGTTTTCTCATCCTTGAAAATGAAACTCTTTATGTTTTATGCAACTGCGTCAATGATAAAGGTAGAGTTATTCATTATTTATTTATTCATTTGTGCAGGAAGGGTCACGCCTTAAAGTGGACTACGAAGTGTCTTGGGACAGAGATGGCTTCTTTGAGAATCAACGAAGCTCTACCAGGAGCCACATACAAGAAAGGGCAGTCCGGCTGCCAGTATCATCAAGATATACACGAGATGAAGCTCCGAGGCATCAGTCACAGACTATTCATTCTGTAGCTGATGTTCCATGGCCAAAAAGGTTCAGGGTACGTTCTTAAAAAGAACTTAGTACACAATTTTGCATATTATTCTAAAGATTATTTGTATATATGCTCCTTAAATCATCAATATTTGCAAATACCCAAAATCTTAGTAATTGCATAATTACACCCAATTCTAAGACATTGGAAAAGAATATCCTCCGCTTAACTCTGTAATTTAATATTCTCAGAGTATTCTTTCTCTTTCGCTAATCTTATGTAAATAACTAACTAATGACTAAAATACCTTCTAGTATTAATTAAGTTTGTTGTTTATAGCGATTCAACCCCAGGGTAACCAACAGTGAACTCTTCCTCCACTGCTTTCTCTACCTCTTCTATTATCCTCATTCTCACAATCCTCATCATCTACCTCTTTCAACTCAACATTCTCTCCACCCAGTTCTACTCCACATTTATGCCTCCTACATTACCAATAGACCACCCTTCCATCTTGGATCCTGATCACGTGGTATTTTGGGGGAGGCGTTGGTGCAGGATGAGGCAGGTGGGTTCTTCTTTTTTGTTTGTAAGTTTGAGGGGAGGGTGAGGTGGAAATTTGGGACCTGGGTTTGTAGAGTACTAATTATTTGTGAATTGTAGGAAGGATCCACCATCACAGCCATCATCTCCTAGATCACCTCTCCATCGCTTCCTTTCCCCAAATCCCATCGCTTTGAACTGAAGGATCCTCCCCCCCCCCCCCCCCCAGTGGACTTTGTCTACCCATTGAAAAAAAGGGTATAAAATAAAATAACCCTCTACTGTTTGAAAATCAACTCCATTTGGAAGTGGAGAGTATTTTTTTTACAATGTATTGTAATTGGGGGTAATTTTGCAAATATTGAGATTTGGGGGGTCTTTTCTATATATTGAAGATTTGAGGGACATATATACAAATAACCCTTTAAATGTTCAATGTCTATACCTTGCATGCTGTCTTAGCTTTGTCTAGTTAAGAATCTATGCATGCACTTGTTGGAACCTTATGCACCACAACCTGATTGGACCATGTTATTGGTTGTACAGATAACAATGCAGCAGGAGCTGGGGGATTAATTTCCGAGGAGAATGAAAATTTAGTCCCTCACAAAGCCCACCCGTCTCCCGCCCGCCTCCCCCCCCCGCCGCCCCCCACTCACCTTCTCCAACCCCCACCCCCCAAAAAAAAATTAATAAAGTAACTATAATGATGGTAATAATAAAATAAATAAATAGTTATAATTAGAGCAAATCGGAGGTGAACTGATAACTCGAGAAATTTCCTGCATTTACTATGTGTCGTTCCCCAATTCGCGGGAAGTGATAATGGATATGTTGGAGAGGCTTAGGGATAGTTGGATTTGGTATATAAAATTTAAAAAGAACATGACTTCTGTGTAAAAGGTCCATCACCTTCTCCACCCTCACATACCGGGATTTTTTTGAACTTCTCAATTTTCCCTTTTGGGTTTGTTTTTGAATTTCTGAACGTGCTGGTGCTTCCTTTGACAGGGATTCCAATTATTCTGAATGCCCAGTGAGATCTTAAAAAGCAAGTTGTACAAAAACTTGATCCTAACATGGGTCCATGAAAACCGTTGATGATAGTTATCTGAGCAAACAAGGGAGAAACATGAGGATCAAGGATCTAAATTATCTCATCTACGTCTTTGGCGGCAAAGGACACCTTTATTATGTAGCTATTTGTCGAGAGGGGGAGAGAGAAAGGAGTCTGTGATTCTGATTCCCAGGAATTGGGGGAAGAGAATTTAGGGACTTATAAAATTCAGAACAAACTTAAAGTCAACAAATCCATTTCAGCCAAGCTTCTCCTGCAATCCAGCTCCATCACGCTAATGGCAAAGACTTTGAACTCAATTTACGACAAACTTAATAGTCAAATTCACTTCAAGTTTCCTCAATCTCACAACAGGCTAAATAGGCCAATTGTCCAGATCGCTGGGGGGTTGAGATCGAGAGGGAGAGAGAAGACTTGTAAGATTGACAGAACGAGGTGGTGGTTTCGCCTTTGACATTGCGTTTCTGATCTGGGAAATCTTTTATGGGAAGAGAGGTAGAGAAGAAGGAAAGGATGACTTTGTGAAACATTTTACATATAAAGTACTCATATTTTAAATTTTACATATCTATATCCTTAAAAACCCACATGATTTCAGCAAATAGGAGATGACAGCACAGGAAATATTATGCACTATAACGTCGCCTCCAGTTTTCTCCTATAATTAATTAATTATGAATTGCAATATTTTCAAACTATAGGAAGGAAATCATTCTATCCAGTTACAATATTTTTCATATGCACACATCGAAGCTGTCTATAGGCTTAACGACTAACTCAGCTTGTGTATGATCAATCTGTATCTGCTATCTGCCAGTGAGAGAAAGGTACTTGCTAACGAGCAAAGTGTTTCTTCTGCCTTGTACGCTAGATGTTATGGACAACTGTCTGATTCTGGGTCTATCAGTAATATTATCTTTTACTTCTTCCCACTTCAACCATTAGATCTTCTCTGATTGTGTTTGTTGTAAAAAAAATTGCAGGAATAAAGAGGGCTGGAGAAATGGGATCTCCTCTGATTATGTTCACTGCCAAAAAAAAGCAGGAATAAAGAGGACTGGTGAAATGGTTTAGGATTTATCATGTTGGTCACCAAGTAAATAAGCCAAGATTATCCTATGCCTTCTTGGAGTACACAAAAATACAGTATAAAGCTTAGCCGGATGGTTTCCTTAAGGTTCCAATTTCATGAATGTACCATGGATGTGCATTCAGGAATTAGATTGTTTGCACAGCTGTGGACTGTGAACTATCTTCAAAATGATATTTTTGAAGTGTGAACATTGGCATACATCTAAACTCTAGATGGTGTATATCGCTGCGATGCCTGCTTCTACTCATCTGCATCAAGATACTGCTTTCTGTAAGCTGTTGTCATCACTAATGAAAGGCTATGGCTAAAAGTACCACTTATTCCTAATTTTTTTCCCTATCATCATGAATTGTGGCCTTAGTTTTCTGATACCTATACTTTGTTTGACAGGAAAATTTTTTTAAGAGGACCTTTTTCGAAATAATATTAGCAAAATCGACCTATTTATACTAAAATTTGTAAAATTGACCGTGTTTGCTCTCATGGGCAGAAAATGGTTGATTTTGTTGAAATAGTGTTTTAGATGTACATGAGACTAGTAGTCATGTGTAATTAGTAGGCACTGATCCACCGAATGCCCAAAATACTTGAGCAAACCTCTCCACCCCAGGTGCAATCTCTTTAGACGATATTTCATATTTAGTACCCAAATTATTTTGCTTGATTGTTTCAAGATATTATGAAAGTAATTCATAAGATTGCTCCTAATCTCCAAATATTTTAGACAATATTTTACTCATTGCATCATATGCCTTATATTTAGATATCTTAATGCCTCCCATGTCATATACTCTTTGAAATATTTGACCTAGATTTAGAACAAGTTCTGCCCTCACTCAGGCATAATTAGCTCATATGTGAGAGGAAGTTGCCACGTTATGATAACTTTCACTGACAGATTGCAACATGTATGTAGTCCACGGTATGTAGAGATTACAAATTGCTTATTTGATGATTTTCTCATAGCTACATTTAGCAACCAAGGACATTTCGTGTTTCTCTCATCCTATTCATTTGCATGCTCTACTTGAATCTTCTTGTTAAAATAACACTTTATTTGGTAGTTTGTTGCATTAGATTTTACCAGCTTGAATTTGACCCGATTCTTGATGATTTTTTCTCAAATTGCATAAATCAGCGCCTCATTGTTCGCGAATAGATTTTTCCTTTTTTTTTAAAAGTGAAGTCCTTAGACCGTTAAAATTTTGAACCAACATCAACAAATTCACCTTTGGAGGTATTTATCCAATCCTCATTTTGGAACTCGTCGGGCAACGAATCTTCAGAGTCCACATTATCATTGTCAAGATAAAATTGATCCATCCAACGGGAGTCATCATCCATGCCAGTAGCCAAATGCATGCTATCAATTTGCAAGCCATCTTTTTCAATATCTTTAGACTCGTCATTTTTTTCTTCTTCTACAATTGATCCGACCGGTAAATTACCCGTAATGTGGCACAAAGCGTCATTAAAGATAGCACTTGAAGTCCCATTGAGGGAGTGCCCGATTAAATGTTGTAATTAAGCCCATGACTCCTCACTCGGAGATATAAACCCACTCAATTCTTCTAAGCCAAGCATATGGGAGAGCTCTCCTTGAGGTTTCAAACTTGGGCAAATTCAAGAATGTGATACTTCTCAATGAACAACTCGATTGATACTTGCTTCTCGACTAGCTGTTTCATGTCATTCAACTCCTTATCGTAGGTGATCGCTACGATAATTGTTCTATTCTCAATTATCAGACAGTTAAAAAACACCTCAGTTGCATATTTTTCTTCATTAATGTTAGCAACTCTGTATATTTCCTTCATCATTCCATCAAAATTGCATGATTTAGATAATATAAACATTTTTCTAGAACCTTCCTCATAAATAGACATACTATTCATTCTAACACTGAGGCTTCCATTGAATAAGTAAATTATGAGTATTGAGTTCATCATCGAAACTGGAAGATTAGCATTCTATCATATGCAAATAAACTATTATTGTTGAAATCAATTTCTAAATTGAAAATCAAATTAAAAACCCTAAATTCTAGTTAAACCATAACTTTAGCCAAACAGCATTATCCATCATATTTCTCAAAATAAAACCTAAAAAATTTCAGCACAAATTGTATATCCCAATTAAACCTAAACCCAAATCAATCCATATAATTCATCAAAATTCTCACACAAAAAAATAAAAATAAATTCCATCACAAATTTCATAAAATACATTAAAATTAGACCCTAAATCAAAATCCATATCATTCATATCAAAATCTAGTAAGCTAACATTTTAGGTTAAGACCTACCACTACATCTTACATGTCGGTGTTATGCATAATAATCTGTTATAACAAGGCTATCAGTAGCACACATTTAACAAATCTCTAAATTAGATCACATCTCTAAGCAAGTGATCATCAAAGTACATGATCTAACAAAATAATTTGTAGGGATTATAAGAATTATATAAATGATACCTAAATTATATGTGTAACAGTAATATCTTTATTAATATTCAAGAATATTACATAAGCATGTATTGGATGTTCAAGGGTATACTATTATTATTCTAGCACACTCCTATGTTCTCTGACATCCAATCAGATATGATCCTAACTTACATTTATCAAAAACATTATAAGATAATGGTTTTGTAAAAGGATGTCAAATGCTATCTGTTTAGTCATTTTTTAAACTACCATATGTTTCTTCTTGTTAACCTTGTTATATCCTATAAATAACCTAAGTATATCCTACAAGTAACCTAAGTGTTAACCCTCTTTCTAGAATCGACACATGTCCCATGTTAACTAATCCTTAGTTCGGCTTCAACCTAGCCAGGATGACTCAAGTAACATGATACAACTTTTCCCAAGGAGAGCTGAGTTAAGAGGCATTCTCACTCAAACTCTTAATTTGAGCCAACCTTACACCTTTTACTTTTCGAGGTTGGGTCGATAACTTTCGAGGCTGATTAAAAAGTCGAACCTTCCTCTTCCCCCTCTTGCGGGTCAAGCTAAGTAGTGACCGAATAAAGACTATACTAAGCACACCTCTCCTTCGCCTCGCTAGCAGGCTCATTTTGCCGCTTCGCCTCAACATATCCAACAGTACATCGAGGCAACAGGGGAGAACCCTAGCTACGGTCATTGTGACCATGAGAGAACTACATGGACGGCTTCACGAGGCCCCAGATAACCTTATGCTGCTTCAGGTCATTCCACAACCAACCTAGCATCTGGTTAGGACCAAACGTTCAATATTATTGCCGAGACTATCGGAGGGGAAAAAGAAAGATGAAAAAATAAAGGAAAATAAAATCAAGAAATAAAATAAAGAAAAATCAAGAATAAAGAGAAAATTAAGGAAATGGAGAATTCAATTAGAGATATGAAGAATTTAAAATTGAATTTAATAGTCAATTTCACTTAGAAATTATGAATTATTATATTTTTATCATATTTTACTAAAGATTTATTAAGTATAAACTACGAAACCACTTAAGAAAAGCATAACTATCAAATTATCATCCAAATAAAATTAATATTCATTAAAAGAATAACAACTACATATTAATTCTAGAGTTCATAAGCATAACCTATTAAACTATTAAAGATAAACATAAATTATCAAATTCTTCTTCTACTAATTAGTTCTCTAGTTGATTATCCTAAACATGATCATTTTAAGAACAAGAGGATAATTCATAAAGTATAAAAGAAATCAAATTAATTTCATACAATTCTAGAATTCCTACATAAATTAGTTCCACATCTTAGAAAATAAAAATAAAGAAATAAAAGCTAGACTAGAGAGAATAAAAAAAGAGAATGAAAATAAGAATTAACTACAAAGAGGAAACATAAGAACAAATATTAAAGATCTAAACTATGAACAAAAAGAGAAGAACATAAAAAGAAATCTAAACTATGAAGAGAAGAACAAAAAGAGAAGAACATCATCTATGTTTGTCTTTGTAGACCTTACGTGAACATCAGCTATATGCTAAGTCCAGCAAGTGTGAGTTTTGGATTTATGAGGTCAGGTTTCTTGGCCATATTATCAGCAGAGAGGGCATAGCAGTAGACTCGGCTAAAGTTTCAGCGGTGCTTGATTGAGAACCGCCGAAGACGGTAACCAAGATTCGTAGCGTTTTGGGATTAGCCGGATATTACAGGAAGTTCATTCAGGACTTCTCGAAAATTGCGACACCACTTACGCGCCTCATGAAAAAGGGTGTACAGTTCATTTGGAGCACGGAGTGCCAGAGGGCTTTTGATACCTTGAAGGTTAAGTTAACTATGGCGCTAGTTCTTTCTATTCCGAGCAATGACAGAACATTTGTTGTGTACACAGATGCATCGCTATTAGGTTTGGGACGTCTTTTGATGCAGACTCAGAGAGTAGTAGCATACATCTCACGGTAGTTGAGAGTTCATGAGCAGAACTACCCCACCCATGATTTGGAGTTAGCCGCGGTTGTATTCGCGCTAAAAGCGTGGAGACACTATTTGTATGGAGTACAGTTCGAGCTTTTCACAGACCATCAGAGTTTGAAGTATCTTTTCTCGCAGAAGGAACTTAACCAGAGGCAGCGACGATGTGTTGAGTTCATTAAGGACTACGAATTCGCGATTCAGTATCATTCGGGGAAGGCGAATGTCGTAGCAGATGCCTTGAGTAGGAAACGTTAACATCAGGTAGCGGCTTTGAGATGCTCGTTGTATAGAGATCTTCTCACTCTTATCTAGTTCGACTTTAGGCCAGAGATTGGCGAGACTAGCGCATACTTGGGAGCTATATCGGTGCAGCCATCTTGGAAGGATAGAGTAGTCAGAGCTCAGTTAGAGGACTCTTGGATTCAAATTTGAAAGGAGAAGGTTTCCAAGGAGCCCAAGGATGATTGGACCATTGGGGTAGATGGAGGTCTTCGAATGAAGGGTCAATTAGTTGTGCCAACCAGTGTGGAGCTGAAGAAGGAGTTATTTGATGAAGCACACCGTACCCGATATACAGTACATCCAGGGACCACTAAGATGTAAAAGGACTTGAGGAGACACTTTTGGTGGAGTGGTATGCGTAGAGACATTACAGATTTTGTGGCTAAGTGTTTCACCTGTCAGCAAGTGAAAGCATAACATCAGAGACCAGCAAGAATACTTCAGCCTTTACCAATTCCTGAGTGGAAGTGGGCGGATATTTCGATGGATTTTATTATGGGTTTGCCGAAGTCGAAGAAGGGGAACGACTCAGTTTGGGTGATTATGGATCGACTTACGAAGTCAGCACATTTTATTCCAGTGAGGACTATACAGCCTAGGCATATGT